TCTCTCTCTCTCTCTCTCTCTCTCTCTCTCTCTCTCTCTCTCTCTCTCTCTCTCTCTCAGAGTCCGGTACTAACCTGTGAAGGTGGCAACTTGTTGCAGGTACATCGACGACGAAGCTGGAGCTATGGCGCCACAGGTAAGAGTCCCTGGCCTCCGCCAACCATCTCTCTCTCTCTCTCTCTCTCTCTCTCTCTCTCTCTCTCCAACGCTACTCTAGCTCCTAATAGAGCCCAGCGCTGACGACTACTGCTAACGCTACTACTACTACTGCAGCGCTCCTGTAGAGTGCTGATGCCGAATCCTGAAGACTACCTCCTGCCTCCTGAACTGCACGTGAAGTGCCTGGGAAGTCCCTATGAACTACCTGCAGCCTGCAGGGCGGGCCAGTCTTATATAGTGCTGGCCCGCCCGTCCAGGAGGCTGCTCTTGCCAATGCCAAAATGTGCCAGACCCAAAATGGCGTTGCAGTTCGAACAAAGGTTGTCTTGAAAACAGGCCCAAAATGGCCTGTGCTAAAACCCTGGTCTGGTGCCTAAGTTTCAGGGCAGGTCGATCTTATGAGCGCCTGAAAATGGCCCTCCATTTCAGGCTGAAAAGAATCAGGGCCTGGAGGGCCCTGTTTAGGCTGACACGACACCGACGGGGCATATTACCCGTCTGTGTGACTATGTCCGTATGCTGTATTTTACCTCGGTAGCATCTGTCACTTGTCTGCATACCTTCTTCTTCTTCTTTCATCTCTTTAAATTCTTTTTCTCTCCTGTTTTCCTTCTTCTTCTCATCTTCTACCTTTCCTTCTATTCGTCTATATTTGTACCTTGAGTGTTTTTTTTTTTTTTTTTTTTTTGCCATGCTAATCTTCTCTGTATCGTTCCAATTTTAACAGATGTCCCGAAGGACACCTTGAGTGTTTTTACTACACTTGGTCGAAGTGTCTTTTGCATTGAGTCTTAATCTACTGTGACACACACATAGAGAACCGGTGGGGCAGGGTCGTACACTTGATATCATCGGGTAACGGGGTTCTCAGTAGAACCTGGAAATAGGCAAAGAAAGGGTTCTTTTTCTTTTTCTTTTTCTTTTTCTTTTTTCTTTTTGTGAGGAATGAGCCCTCAAGTAGGGGCCTTGCCATGATGTACATGTTCTGGGCTAAGGCCCCAGCAAGCCTCGTGCCCGCCCTAAGTGAAGGCGGGCCAGCAAATCAACAAGAACCCTCTGTGCCAACATTTCACGAAGTGGGGTCCGTACAGTTGCAGCACGCCAGTTGGTTGGAGTGCACCGAGTCCCGGAATTCAGCAAATGCTGAAAACCCAGGGCCTCTGAGTTAGTTAGGCCCTGGGCACTTGAACGTGAGGCCGACAATTCATGCTGGGTAGAGAGGCCGAAAATGCCAAAGGGAAATCGGCCACTATCTGAATCTGGCCGCAGGCCTTGATGAAAGAGGCACAACTGCATTGCCCCAGCCCGATACAGTATTCAGCCACTGGGGCCGAGAGGCAGGCTGAAGGGAGGCCGCCCACACGCAGCACTGGCATATAGGCAAGCAGGGCGAGTGGGCAGGCATCTTGGCCATTGCGAGCAAGGCCGGCACGCTGCTGCGTTGCATGCATGCTGCACTGCGCTAAGGCTGAGTGGGCAGGACAGCGCTAGGCGGGAGGGCGCTGCCTGTGAGCGCAGGGCGCTGACGGCCATAGCCGGGCTGCCTGTGTGCGCAGAGGGGTGAAGGGCGAAGGTGGTACTTCGGAGGTGAAGGGCGCTGTGTGGGTACAAGGGAGAATGTGGGTGAAGAGGACACGTACCTGGTGGAGTTGGAGGTCGGCATTGGTGTTGACATCATCACTCGCTGGTAGTCAAGTTGTCTGGTTGCTTTCATAGCTGTAGTTGTAGGATAGGCTGTAGAGTAGATAGGGCGCCTGGCGCCATTCACAAGAGAGAGCTACTTCTGGGTTATGCTGTTGGTGTTGCCCTGTTGGGCATGGACATTGACTCACGATTCTTCTGTATCATTCTCAATTGGATGGTTTCTCGGTTCCATTGTGCTATCTGCTTTGGCTTTGACTACTTGGACTTCAGTGTGATTTTGCATTCTGGATTTCTGTGCTTCGTCCATATTCATGTTCCTTGCAATTTTGGTATCGGAGCGGGTTTGATCACCACTTACCTTTGGCACGCTGGCGTTATACAGACTTGGTGCGTTGACGATGCTTCTTCGCAGTGGGTACTTGTGACATCAGGCTACTATAGGTGCACGCCCTGGGTAGAGAGGGGTGCACCGGAAGGCTATTACGGCAGTGTATGCCGTGGGATACAGCGGAATGTTTGATTGATGATGAGAGCATGCTGATGTGGCATTGGACTAAGGTGGCACTGCATTGAATTGTGGGTGGTACCGAGGTCATGACCGGTCATCAAATGCAACATCAGCTCAATTGGTGAGAAAATCTGTGGTTGGGGGCAGCTATCACCAGGTATGTTGATCCCTTACCTTATCTACTCTCTCAATCTCTTTTTACCGTGAGGAAGTGAGTCCAACTTGAGAGTCCTCTCTTTTGGTGAGGTGTCGTGAGCGCGCTACCTTGAGAGACGGCAATCTTCCCGGAAGCATCTGGAAGGAGAAAGGGCGGTGCCTCTGAAGGGCCCTGGTCCAAGCACTGGGTCACGGTCACCTTGCCAACCCACAGGGAGTAGTGCACGCATGCGATGGCTGCTGTCCTGTTTGGCACTTGCTGCGCTAATAGAAGTTCCTCCGGGTGTGTCAGCCCATGACAGACGCTTACCAGACCGTCTATAAATATTTCTGGTTGGGAGTTCATTGTGAATCAAGCTGTGATCGTCGTCTTGACTGCGACGTTAAAGAATTCCTGAAGAGATGGCGGCGCGCTATAAATCCCTCCTGATCAGCCAGATCACCTGGATAGTAAGGCTCATCGCAGTACGAAGGTAAATAAGAGTGGTTGGGCTGGCTTGCTCGGTGACAACTTGGGCACAGGGGTGGGCCGATACACATACGAAGACACTGCTCGCTCAAAGATGTTGTTCGGTACGTTGGATTGAGGGGAGGGTAGGTTCCAATTGGTGCTCAATTGTGTACACAACTATACCCATCAATCCTACATTTGCTACATGGTCTTTTGTACTTTTGATTAGTTGGTGAACAGACTGCTAACACCTCACAGACAAACTAGAGTAGGACTGAAGTATACTACCATAGCCAGTCCTATCTTGTGCTGCTGTAAGTGAACAAGTCAAAGTGCATTTAGACTATGTAGACAATCTGCGTGAATGTTGTAGACATGCCACTTGATCGGTACAATAGGGGACTTGCTGGACATAACCATTTCTAGAAAATTAGGTGTCGGTCAGACACATGCTGCGGCAGGATTCCACTAGGGGATTCTAGTGCAGACAATGTTTGCCTAATTCATGAACGGATCAGACGTCGACGAGGAGGGAGTTGATGATGCTAGACTAACACGTGCAAGATCAAGAAGGATCCTGTACGTGTTCAGGACCCTAGACGAGGGAGAAGAAAGACGGCTTCGTGCCGAACGCAGAGCCCATGCTTTCACAGCATCGAGAGCAACAACAAACGTTGCAGCTAGGGAACAGGCTGCAGCAGCAGCCAGGGCAGCAGCCATGACTTCTTCAGCAACATCCTCCGACGCATTTTCTGCTGCGTTCTCGTCTGGACCCCATTTGGGAATGCCAACAGGGTCCACGGGCACTTCCAGTTCATCAGGTTCTAGACAGTCTACAAGTCAAATGGCGGGTTCACAGTTCAGCCCGTTGACTCCTCGCAAAAGGGAGATGAGGGAGCTCCAGCAGGTCGAAAGGATCCGTGCACAATTAGAGAAGGAACTGAAAGAAGCTACCGATAGAGAAAGAGAGATAAAGAATAGAACATTCAGGCTTGAAACGTTAGCAACTAACAAGGCTGAGTTAGAGGGCATGGACGACTCTGGAATGAAAGAGCCCATGAAAGTGTTGAGGAACAACATGCTGTCACCGCATGCGCATGTAGACAGCAGGTTGGACTTCATGCAGAGCACTTTGGACCAGATCCTGGACATTTTGACAAGGCCAGGATTTAGGCCACCAGCACAATCGTCATTGCCGTTATCGGCGATGTCAGGCCCCTTTCCATTTCAAGTTGGTACACATCCTAGTGGTACGTCTGCAGCAGCCGCACAGACTGTTGCATCTTCTTCTACGGGTCCAGCGGTGGTTGCTACACCACCGCAATAGGCTAGTCCTCAACAAGGACAGCCGCAAGGTCAATGGTACCCTAAGACCCCAATGAAACCACCTCTTGCCTTCCCAGGCGAGAGAGAGGACGAAGAACTCAACACATGGTTGAGAATGGTCCCGGTTTGGGTGAAGGCAAAGAGGACCTTGTCTGAGGACGAAGTGGTTACTGCTGCATCCTACCTCGAGGGTAAGGCAGCCAAGTGGTTAGATGGTGTAGTTGTGAAGGTCGGATACAGGCGACGCATGGCGGACTGGGCTAAGACTTTGACGCTAGACCAGTTCATGGAGATGGTAGAAGCTCGATGGCATAACCCACAGGAGGCTCAAAGGGCCACTGATGCCATTAACAAAGTCGACCAACGCAAGTTCAAGTCGGTTAGAGAGCTTACGACTACCGTCGAGAGCCTGATCCTCGTTCCAGGCATCAACTACAGTGACCAGTTCCTCTTAACTACGTTTGTTAGATGTCTTCCTGAGAACATGAGGAACTTGCTAGCCAGTGAGGCACGCGTAGAGTACCATTCGTTTGAGACATTGTCTAGGAAAGCCTTAGATTTGGAGGCCACACTAGGCAATGCTCAAGCCACCTCAGGGAACGACTCAAAGAAGAAGAAGAATCCTCAGGAGTGGAAGAAGAAGGGGGCGAAATTGATGATGGTTGAGTCTGATGGGACTCAAACTGAGATCGATGAGCTCTCTGACCTGATGGACTACTCAGAGTATGACGGCGAGGAGGTAGCGGAGGGTAGCACCCTTGCCGCGGTAGTTAAGACTAAGGCGGCAGGCCGAGG